TGGAACATATTGTAGGAGTCCATCCTGGAGATGAAGAAGGTATGGGTCATTATGGCTAACTGTGCATCTGAAAGAAGAAGGTGCATTCTCCTAGCTAGCAGAAGATGGAAAAGGTCTATTTGGCTGCTACTACTATTTGGGTGTCTACTGTTTGATACAGAGACCTTTATTCAACCTTCATAACTGGCAAACATAACAGTTGCCTTTGATTTCTAAAATTTTCATTGTTGCAACTTCCCACCTACTCACACTAAAGGAATTGGCATCTAGGTTGCTGTAAGGGGAGAAGGCTTACAGAAGTATTATGGGGGTGGTTTTAAAAAAAACGTTGAGTACATACAAGCAATATTTTTCTCTTTCTGTAACTTTTAGTGCTGTCAAGTTATCACAATGTGCCGATGTATTTCTTCAAATAAAAGCCTGTCAGAGAAAGGATCATAAAATTTGTGCAGTTTTAGGAGAAATCTGCACCATGTAAAACCTTGCTCGAGATCAGATTTGCAAAGTTCTGGGCATATTTCCTTGATAAGGTGGAAGTGCTAGCCAGTGCAATAAGACGTTCTTTCATGAAAATAGAGTAGGCCTATTTGGGGGAAGCACTGGTTATATCCGACTGCCAGCCCAGCTAAATCCTGGTAAAGAGGCCCTCTCTGTGGCTATATGGGATATAAATACCTCCCCCATTGCCAGTCAGCAGAAAAGGTATTGTGGTGACCTTGTCCTGACATGGCCTTAACTGTTTTCTGCACATCACTAAACTTTTCCCCTTCTCCCCACCTGCTGCAGGGAAGCCCTTAAAGTGGCAACACCCCTTTTTTCCAGCTAGACAAATACCCACCCGTTATAAAGGTTGCAGTGGGCATAGTCATGAAAATAGAGCAGGCCAGTTTTGGGGAGGCATTGGTTAATACATGGCTTGTACCGAAAGTGGGTTGCATTTTTCCAGGAAATTCAGATTTGAGAAGGAAGGCCTGATTTGCTCAAGCAGGTTAAAATGGTGTCCTTTCATCAGGCAACATACAGTTGGGCTTGCTTTTTGGTAAGGGCTAAAATTTCATTGTATATTTATAATGTATTTATTTAAAGCTGCAGCTTCGTTTTGAAAGGTTGTTATTTGCGGGCAAAGCAAGGAGGAAAGGAGGAGGATGTGGGCACCAGCCATATTAAAATAACTTGTTCACTGGTTACACTTACAGCTGGTGCCTTATTTAAATTGCTTTTTAATTATTGTAACTATAAAGCTTCATAACACACTGCTGTATCAAATGATTTATTTTACGGAGCTGAGAAAGATACACGCAGAAAGCTTGTGGCTGGAGCATGAGTATCTACAGCTTTCTGGAAATGAAACCTCAGGTGTGCTATGGGTTTATATAAAACTAAATGCCAGAGAAAGCACAAATAAATTAAAAATCCCCAAAAGCAAAAAAGCCGGTTTTAAATGCGGCAAGTTGTTTTTGTCCAGCAAAGACATAACATTTTTTTTAAATTCCACATGCATTCTACTCTGAGAAGTAAAACACAGATAAGATTTTATCCCTGATTACTTGAATGCCACATATTTTTTCATTGTATCAGTCTGAGTTCAGATCTAGGAATGGATCGGAGACTGTATTGGTATAAATGGCTGGTGAGTTCTTTTTAGCAATGGACGAGGGATCAGTGGACATGGTGATTTATCAGATTTGTCGGGAGCTTTTGATATTATTAACCCATAGGTATTGTTGACTTACCCAGTGAATCTTGGGGGAGTTGGGGAAGCAGTGGATTCATTCTTCGTTTATAAGATTTCCCAGACAGTACTGTTCATTTTCTCCAACAGCCCTCACATGGAGTCCTACAGGATTTTGTAATGCTCCTGTTTAATATTAAACCGACAGGGTAGATTGTGAGATGCTTTGGACTGAGATTTCATCAAAATTGCCAGTAGAACTCAGCTCTACATCTTCTTTTCACTGAATTCAGACTTCCACTGTCTAATAGAGAAGGGGATCCGGAGGTAGACAAACTGGTTACACATTAGCCTGGATAAGGCTTATTGGCAAGGGGAAACTTCTAAAGGACTTGGAGGAAGCACTATTTGCATCATTTTCCAGGGTTCACCATTGCAATGTGCTATAGTATAGGGCTATTCTTGCAATCTACCTAGACATTCCATATCAAGCAGAACTTGCCCCCTTCCTAGGGCAAGCTGGCATGACAAATGCTACCTGTGCTGAAGTCTCTGTATTGGTTTCCTTTCACTTCTGGATTGCAACTTCAGATGTCAATGGAGATTTTAAAAGACTAGAATGGTTATTCAGGAAGTTATCTGAACTTTTCACCCTAGCATGGCAGTAAAGATGGCTGATTGGCTCTTGCTTTTGGTCCCTAAATTAGAAAGCTCCATTACGGATAGCAGGGCTCCCTCATCTGAGGGCTCCATCTTTGGAATTCAGTCTTCTTTGTAACTTCTCAGGGCCCAGGATTAGAGATTATCGTGGCACATCACAAGGCCAACGGGCCATATCCTTAGCAGGTGTAAATCAGCACAGCTCCATTGACTTCAATGGAAGTATGTCAGCGTACACTAGCTGAAGACCTGGCCCCATTTTATTGAGTGCTTTGTTGACTGATTTTATGATGTTCCTACTCTTACTTTTGAAAATGTATTTACTATATTTATTCACTGTAGGAGGTGCCTCGTTGCCACTACAATAGAGACTATAGAAATTAGAACAATCAACACATAATAAAGGAGCAGCTTCCCTGCCCCTGGTTCCCCCGCCCCAAATTTTCAGATAGCAAATGAGCCATTTGGAAGGAACTTATTAGAACGCTATTACTGCAACTAGGACAAAAAAATGTAATCCCTACATGCTGGGGATGGCACTAGCCAGGCCTTTTGAAAGGTGAAATGTACGAAAAGCCACTTCTTAAAGTGTCTAGTGGAGGCATTATGTTCCGGGCACTGTAGACCAGGACAGGTGCATGCCACTGGGTCTCTCCTGAAGGCATCAAAACATGAGGTTGGCCATTTGGGGACAGCGTATGGTAGGGTGAATTGGAATTATGATCATCTAAGCTTCAGGGACCTTTCCTGAATCTGGGCTGTGGGTGTAAAAGAGAATTTCAAACCCACCATGATTCTGAATGGGTTTCACACATTAGTAGGGACGAACTAGTCAGAAATCTTGGGTGACTGAAGGTATTTTGTACCTTTTTTACTTCGTCCCTCAATGCACCAAAATAAGCAGTTATGTATAATCCATAAACGAAGTTGCTGCATGATTATTAAATAATTGTTCAAAACTATAGGGAGTCAATTTGTCACTCCGTTTCATGTTTGGTCCTCTCTCTTGCTGTCCCTTCTGTGCTGGAGTCTCTGGTGCAGATCTGATGTTCCTACATGGGTATCCTTTGCCTCCTCATGTTAAAAATGCATACTTGTAACAATTACGAAAATAATCTCTTAAAAGAATGAGAAAATATCTAATTTTCCTTCATGACTATGGCAGTATTTGTATGTAAATCATTGTTCTTTCAGGTAACAATGATAATAAAATAGAATTCCTGGGGTCCTACTCTCCCTCTGCAGGATTTGAGTAAATCTCATTGACATCAAGTGAACACAGAGAGAGTAGCAAATGGGGAGTGCTCCAAGGGAGCTCTGAAAGGAGATGTTGAAGTATCTGAACTTTGAGAAGGGAAATTACTCAGATCCTCTGAGCTGGTGTGTGGGTTGGGAGGATGGGAGAGCAGGTGGGATGAAACAGGGTCCCCTGGTGACACACATCTGTGAGTGATAAACACTGGAACACTCCAATCTAAGTCCTGAATCATTAAACCCTCCTCACCACGAGGTGGCACACATGTATCCTTAATGTTCCTAATGGCTATTAACTAGCTCAACCGTTCTTTTCAAATCAAGTTAAAGAATACACTAAATTATTCTCCACCTCTCCTGGGAAAGGTTTTGGATTAGGGTAAGCATGACTATGTTACAATTACAATACTATTTTCAGAGACCTACAGATACAAGTAATTTTCTCTTTACGACAGTGCATTACAAGATTTCCCCATTCCTGTTTGCTAAAATGTTACAGAGATGTCTCTGTAAGATAAGAATAGAATTCATATTAAATAAGATAAAAAGGCACTGCTGTACTCAGTGAAATCCAAAGTTTTAATATGTTTTTATAATAGCTGGATTTCACCAAAATCACGACAAGATTTTAAGGATGACATGGAGCAGAGTTTGGGCAGTAGACTGATGACAAAAGTTGGAAATAAATATGTAGAAACAGCATGATAATACGTAGCTGTTTATTTGCCGCCCCAAAACTTAAGCCAACAGATCATCCATCTAACAGTGTGCTAATATGGATAACATCTGTACTACTGAAACTTTTAATTCTCATGCTGCAATTTCTAGGAAGTATTCATTGGGGAAATGGGGAATATCATTCCTCATTATATTTTTCTTGGGATGCTGAAAAAGGTCTAGACTGAACGCAACGTTTAGAACATACCTCGTGTTTGTCCATAACAGCCATTTAAATAAGAACCCTCTGGATTTTGTATGCAATTGTTCCTCATTTACTAGTCTACAAAACAAAAGCAGTCCATAATAGGCACCATGCCTACCACCCACACTGCATAATGCACCTGGGTATTTCAGATATCTAAAGGAAGGATAGTAAGCAAAGTATGTACCCATCAATCTGTGTAAAAGATTTGGAGGAGAAATGAGGTGTGTGTTTTTGTTCCTAAGGAAAATGGAATACTGAACTAAATCAAAGAACAGAAATGCTTTAACTGACATGAAAAGTAATTTTATTCAGTGATCACAGAAATCTGTTTCTGGAAAGTAGGTACATACTTGGAGATTTAAAGCATAAACTACGTTTATAGCTCCCTCTGATGACCATTGGACACTACACAACATAAGTCTTCTTTTATTTTTGTGCATACATTCAACTGACAGCTGACTGGTTAAATTCTAATTGCTTCCAAGTGAGGTCAGCAAAGGTATTTATCGAAAAGGACTGAACAACAGGCTCAACACACACACGCACGCGCACGCACAAGCGCATACACACACCACTGCTCTTGCGTGTTGATTTATGGAAACAATTATAATTCTGCTGAAGTCTTTCTGAGCTGAGAAAGTTTGTAGCTACAGTAGAGCGTCTCATGTTGCAAAAGGCAGACAACAGAAATGGAATACTTGTGTATCCAGCTGTTATCAACAGGAACAAGTAAGTTACCGGTCCTTTAAACGAATGCTCTGGGCGTTCTAACCACTAATGACTTTCTCTTTTCTTGATTGATGTATGTTAGAAGTAAGCTTCTTGACATTTTCTTAAAAAAAAAAAATCTACAAGTAACTGTATGTATAAAAATACAGTCCCACAAATATCTGGGTCTGTCCTGATATTCAAACTAGAGAAGTGCAGGCAGCCCTTTAGGAAGAATGTGGCTAACTATAAAGGTATAGGCACAAAGTAACCAAATGTAAGAGATGCAACAGCATTTTACTGCGGCTGAGTTTTGGAGCTTAGCTGAATCAATAACTTATTTGAAAGACTTATTACTGAGCTACACAAGGAATTGTACACAGTTCAAATGTGTGCTGCTGTCAAGAGCCTGTTGTAAGATATATCTTGTATGTGTGCTTGTGTATGTTTTTTTTAAAGAAGTTAAGTCACTGTATAAAGCTAGGAGATATTTTGCTATGCTACAGTACTCATGCAGCATATATTGTAGTTGCACACATGTAACAATTGACCATAAAATTTATCCATGACACTTTTCTCATAGATCTTTTACTTTCAGTGCAAGCAGCAAATTCAAGTAGTACAGAAGGTCATGACAGCCAAGGTTATTATAACCGGTTTCTTTAAAGGATATCCTGACTGAAAAGATATTTAAGGAGATATCCTGTTTCAACATCAGTAACTATTAAGGAATAAGGATCAGAATTCTGGAAGAGGAAGCAATCTCAATTAAATCAATCTACAACTCGCTGTAAAGACAGAAGGCAGGTCAATGACCTAGGAGCAACGATCTACTTGAGTTTTAATTTTCATTATGTTGTTCATGAACACCCAGAACACCGCACTATAATGCACAAATGGATACTGACATGGATCCTGCCGACTTTGCTCTACAGATCATATTTTTACATTATCTTTCTAGTGGGCACTATATCTTTAGCTTGCAATGACATGACTCCAGAGCAAATGGCTACAAATGTGAACTGTTCCAGCCCTGAGCGACATACCAGAAGTTATGATTATATGGAAGGGGGGGATGTAAGAGTGAGAAGACTTTTCTGTCGAACTCAATGGTATATGAGGATTGATAAACGAGGCAAAATAAAAGGGACACGAGAAGCAAACAACAACTATAGTAAGTAATGTCTCTGCTTTTGAAATTTGTACTGAAAGATTTTAAAATTTATGAATTGTTGGTTTTTTATCCCTTCATTTATGATGCTTTCACAATAATTTTGTATAGCGCAGTAACCATTCTATCAGACATGTTTTCCAATTGATCATACAGCAGGACATTTGGTATTGATTTTGAAATGCGTCACTTTAAATAATACGTTACCAGTATGTTGTAGAGCTAATGTATTAGTTACAGCTGGTAACTATTAGCAAACAGAGAGCCTATTTTAACAAGTGAATTAAGGCTGTACATCTGAAAATATATAACCGCAAACTCTATGCTCATAAAGTACTTATGAAACATTAAACCACATTTATGTAGGACACAAACTACCTACAAGCTCAGTATGTGTGACTGAACAATTAAAATATATTCAATATTAGAAAATGCAATGGAAAGAAATATGAAAATTGCCTTGCAAAACCATTTGGACAATTTGCCAGGCTAGAATAAAATCTAATATTGCTTCTACAGCTCATTATTACTTGGATAATGAAAAAATACTCTCCTCTCTCACTTCCAAAAAGATCACTCACCCAGAGAGGGTGGACATGTAAAATTATACTAAATATACTTTTAGCATGAACTAAGGGGAGTTGGATAATAATCCTGATCCACCTATATCAATATTTAAAATGATTTTCATATACCACTATTTTAAGATGTTATGTTTGCATGCGCTGATTTTACCAATTTTACAATTTGTGTGTGGTATTGTAAATTTAGGCAAATACCACATCTACTTCAAGAATATTGGTGCATAATTTTTTTAAGACAGAAGAGAAATACAGAGAATTATACACTGTAGCACTTAAAATGAGAATAAGTACAAAATTATTATTGCTTTAAAGTGTCAGAGGTATATATTGTTCTAGTGAACAGTGTTTATTAAACAACAAATCTCTGTCCTGTGATGGTTTTAAATGTTATTCTATTATTTGCCATATAAATTAGGGAGCATTATAACAGCAAAAAAAGAAAAATCAAAGTGTGAGAGATAGTAATATGATTAGTTATTTTTCAGTTGAAAATTTACTCCCCCCCCAAACAAATTCTTATTCTTTTCAAGTACTGTGCTGCATCATATTTACTTCATGATTATAACTAGGATTGGCCATCTCACATAACTCAAAGGGTTTTCTTTGCAAATTTTACTGTTTCTTTTAAAATTTGTTTTTATATTAGTCTCCTTTTTTCCCTACAATCTATTCCATCATACACAACCATATGGCTTGGAAAATGTAAAACATCAGTTTATTGGCTATGGGCCAAATCCAGCAATTTTTTTAGTTGGTTCTTACGCAGGCAACCTCTCATTGACTTCCAGTGGGACATTGCCAGAGTAAAGACCGCAGGACTATATCTACAAGGGAAATCCTGGCCCCCTAACTTCAATCAGGCCAGGATTTCATCCTAAATGTTCCTACATAAAAACAGTCTTCTGATTTTTTTTGCAACACTAATGCATACTACAATCATATTTTATCTGTTTATTACTTGTATACTGTCTCTCTAGATGGGTTTATATGATCACATGTTCCCAAATAATTATGCAAATTTGCTTTTTATTATACTATTCTCTTTAACCAATGTGTTGGTTTGTAATTTAACATTATTTCAAATTCAAGTAAAGGCTCTTAATCTGTGAGTCCATGTTTTTGCTACATATTAATGATTTTAATAAGTGTTTATTTTAGGATTTAATTACTACTATCTAGGTTTTTAGTAAAATGTAGCATATTTGACTCAAAGTTCAGGTTTTTTTGCAACACAAAATCCTCAATACTTTATCTACTAAATCAGGTATGAGATAAGGAAGTGTCTCTGCCACATGTAAGGTAGAGAAAGGCGGGAGGTCTCCCAGCATATTAAATTTAACATGCTTGCTATACTTCATCTACTGCACATACTAGGAAATAACTATTTTAGTGCTTTTGTTGGATAAGCTGAATAGAAAAAACAATACACATATAGAGGGCATGGGAGAAATCAATTTAGCAATGATAACAGGCTAGTATTTTCAGAGGACCTCCTGTGTGTGTATTATCAAATCAAAATATAAATCAGAACAAACTCACTTTATTTCCTCTTGATTTAATTCAGATTAATACAGTTTTGGGGGGGGGGGGGAGAGAACATACCCTCAGTGCAAATGAACATGAAAGAAATCTCTTTCTGAAGATGTGTTTGTGGCCATATACTAAACACATTTCCAGTCTGTGTTCAGATAAGAAAAAGATTGGACTAATTTTCTTTCCCCCAGACAAATGTTGTTTTCACAGCAGTAAACTCAAACAGCTCTTATTTTTATCTAACTTGTCTGTAAAATTATATCTATTACTGAAATGGACAAATCTGCATGTGTAAACTTCACTCATCTCTGTTAGGTGACTCACTAGTTTGCAATGCTCAGTGCTGGAAGTGGTAAACCAGACTATTCATTTTCTCTGCATGGATGATACCCCAAAAGAGTCACATCAGAGTCAACCAGCTTCTGTGGCTGTCAGGGATTCAGTTGCTGCTCTGAGAAATGTCTTCATATTCTATACTGCCAGCCCCACCGTATAATCTTAGAACAATGCAAAGATATTTAGAGGATTCTCTATATTTGAGAGAGGAAACCCCAACTTTCTCCCATAAGAAATGGAAATGCTGATGTAAAAAAACACTGTGGTTTCCTGTATCCTGAATGTAGGAGAGAATCTAAGCTCGATCCTGTCATGAAGCCACAGATGTAGAAGAGGAACCTAACACCCGTCTATCTGCTGGTTCACTATCAGAAGCATGCAATAAACTCAGATTCAAGTAGAGAAATCTCATTGTAAATATTTAAGTGTTAATGTATTGTAAGTGTTAATGAAAGATGCCAGATTGAGTTTTGCAGACAGAAATCACCACTTTATCCATACACCATATATTGTACATGGACAATAGGCAAAGCTTCCTTACAACTAGAAATCTTTCAAAGATGACATAACACCATCATGTTGCATAGGCAACTTGAGAAGGACGAAATACATGATGGTTCTCATATTAATCAAGATTATGGATCTGAGGTACCAAGAATACAAATCAATGATTGTGAGGAGTCAATAAGTAATACAAGAACAGAGTCAAATCTAATACGTACATTATTTGCAATTATTTGCACATCAAACTTCTCCTAACATACAGGATGCAGTCAGAATAATGTGGCCCTATGAAAATCATAGCAAACATAGAAGACAGAACACATTCATCAAGCAGACTCTGATGTAAAATTGTATTTGTTGCTTGTTGTTACATGATAACGTATTGAAGCAAATCCTTAATATTAATCTCCAATTCATTTCTCATAATTCAAAGTTAATTTGTTACAAATACTTATTGCAACAATTTAGTCAGCATGTTTGAGTAAAAAAAAAAATAGCATCCTCCCCCCCTCCCCCCCCAAAATCTAACCTAATCTTCATGTCTTCTGTGCTAGCAAAGCAAATTGCTGAATTCTGGGCCAGATCAATGATGACCCCCTTAGGCATAAGAATAATTTTTATTGCACACACACACTTCAGTAAGGAGAACTTCAAATAAATCTTTAAAAATGATTAGCTATTGAAATATTGTGAATCATTAGGGGTTTTTTTCCCCCCGTATAACAAGATCTTCTGTATCAAACATCTCTATATCTCCTGGCAGACACCCATCTCTTGGCCATACAGCTGAAAACTACAGAGTAAATTTGGTCAATCATATAAGATAGTATATCCCACCTCTAGGCAAAGGAAATCATTCCGCATCTGACAGAAATAACCCCACTCTTCAGGCTCAAAGTTGAAGTGCAGAGTAAGAGCCAAGAGCCTCTCACTAGAACACTAAAATAATCATCAAGAGACAGATGTGAGGCAGAAGTCTCAGCCCTTCAGAATATTTAATTTCAGTTTTGCTTTCAACACCTATTTACTGTACCTTGCTTCTCCTAGTAAACAGTCAAACATTTTTCTCAGTTAATTTCAGAGACAAACTGGCACATGAAATCCAGACTGAGGAGGTATTTCTGTCTCAGTAATAGAATGAGACCAAGCAAGTGGAGCAGAGAGGTGAGGGATAGCTCTCTCTTAGCGATCAATTGCTACCTTTTGAAATAATTTAGCTTCCCCTTCTTACTGCTTGATCGTCCCATCATTTCAGTTCTAATTATGGAAGTCTTGCAGATTTATTAGTTTTGTGCAAAATGGAAGTCAAAAACAGAGCTTATTTTGAATCAGTCTAAAAGGATTTACAATTAGGACTGGATGATGCTCTAGGAATTTACATGCTCTGTTAGTCTTGAAGTTTCATTGTAAGGACAAATGGCTTCTTAATTATTTCAAAAGCCTCCCCAGAATCTTGAATCATAACTGTTTTAAAAAAGTGAGAGAGTTTTTAAATGTGAATTTCCAGTATCAAGCCACCTCTCAAACCAGGAAGTACCTTCTCCACCACCCCCATTCTGTTTTGGATGAGGACAAAATTCCTACAAGAAATGAGCTCTTAATGAGATCTTAGCACAAAATGGCAGAAATGTCACACAAAAACTTGGCCTTGTGAGACTTCTACTGTTTTGGACAAAATCTTATAAGAACATTACCCAAGATTCAGCATCATTAATCAAACCTAAATTCTAGCCCATATACAACCTGAAACCTAACCTAGTTCAACTCGTAGTCTAGCCCAACTCTAAACCCTGCCACATTGAAAATTAACAAATTTAATCTAGAAGTGGACCAAACTGCTACATACTGTATACCCACACACACAAAAAGCCAACATGATTTCATTGTTAACACAACTGCCCTGCACCTTTAAGCAGCGGTGTGGTGTTTGGCTGGCTGGCTGAATGCAGAGAACCGTGCTTTATGGCTGGGGGGAGGAGGGAGGAGATGAAAACTGCTGAAAAGGGTCAGCATGGTCACTGACTCATCCCCTAGGAATGCAGGCTT